GAAAAACTGATGCCGGTAGCGACAAAAACCTGCGGGAAACTCTGCAAAAAACGCATCTTCGCACGGCAGCCCGTGCGCTGGCCATTTATTTTGTTTTTGTTGCATAGTCACTCACCATTGGATCATTCTGAATTACAATCCGGCAACGAATTTATTAAAAAATATTAAAAAACACCAAATAAACTCACAAAAATTTATAAAAAATTTAAAAACTAAGAGACATCGGAAAACACCGAATTTCATAAAATTTCACGAAATTTATAAAAAGACACCGAACTTGTTAAAACTTATAAGAAATTACAAAAAAACTTATAAAAATCGTAAAATGTTCGAAAAATTTACAAAGCCATAAAAGATGCAATTTTTGGACTTATAAAAGGAATAAAAACTTCACTAGTAATTTTGAAAAATTGAGCCAAATCCTTGTTTCCGTAGATTTTGAAATTCCTGAACTCGATTTAAATTTTTGTGAGTTTTTTTTCAGTATCAGCATGCCATTGTGCACGCCCATTCGCAAACATTTTTAATAAATTCCAGGTGGCTGACTATATGAAGCTGTACAACGAAACAGTCCGTTCGACGATTAGTGAACTGGATAGCTCAAGGCCGTTTTTGTTATCCAGCCCAACTAATGGGATTGAATCCGAAAAGTATGAAAAATATTTATATTTCTAGCGTTTTCTCAATTACATCTTGACAGCAGCATTCACTCTACTGTACACTTTAACATGGCTTGCAGTCACTTAGTTATGGCTTTTTTTTTAACGCTAGATAGTTCTATAAATGTATCAGTTCAGCTGCTCAATATGTGTTATAAAAAAAATTTGGGTCGCTTTATTTACTACATGTAGCTCATTTTTTTTCAATTTATTGACTTTATTTTTCAAAATTGCTGCCATATTTTTAAAAAAATTATTAAAAAATTATTTTTAAAAAAATTATTTTTAAAAAAAATTAAATGCCTCTACACAACCCTGCTTCTCTTAAGAATACTTTTGTGAATATCTCCATGCAAACACATTCTTAAATTTTTTTTTTTTTGTTGTTCTCGTCGTTGAAAACCGTTCACTTAGAGAAGGAGGCGTTGCGCAGAATCCCGGTGACGAGCTGTTTGGTGATATTCATTTTTACAATGAACATGCAAATTTGTGGGCAGATAATACGTACATGGTACCGCGTTGCTCATCCGAATATGGTGTACAGTCATTCCCGAGAAAGTGAGTACTCTACAACCAATTGATACATGCATTTTTTCCCCTTCGTTTCGCATTTCGTCCAAGGAAAGTATTTTGCAGAGAAACGATGCTGAAATGGTTGAATGGAACGGATTGGGGTTACACAAGCGAGCAAATGAAACGGCGACAGCACCATCCTGGCGGATATTACGCTCAATTAGCAATGATTTTCTCACATTTTAAAGTAATTTCTTCAGTAACAATAACTCAGACGCCGTTGATGACATTACGGCAACTCATTGCACCGTATGTCCTACTGTATTTTGACCATAAGCATTAGTTCCACCAAAAAAAAATCGAACCCTGCGCTTTTTTTTGGATTTTTTTTTCAAAAAATTTGTAGATTCCGAGTGAATGTGGTGGAGTGATAGATGCTGAATGCAAATACGTGAAGAAGCCTGCCTTCATGGATCGCTTCGTGTACTTATCCCAATTTCATCAAGCGATTACTTACCAAGTACAAACAGAACATTATCGCAGGTACATCATTCCCCAGTGACTTTGCCTCAGCTTACGCTGTACTTAAAATAACTCCTTTTACCTCGCTTTGAGAGAATTTTGCCTGTTAACCCTAACAGCAAATATATTACCTCTCCTTCCTATGCATATTTGTAAAATATATTAATATTCTTGGTCCTAGATACTAATGTACAAGTAATTATGTAATTAATTACTAGAAAAATTTGCACTAAATTTGCAGAATTACATTAAATTGCAGAAAAAATATGCGGAAGCGTTTACACTAACAGCGTAAAGAAAAAATGATGTCTTCCGTTTACATTATTTTTATTCACTTTTGTCTGTGACCGCTCGGTTTTACATGTGGCCCTCTTTATTTTATAAATTTTTTACGATTTTTTATTTTTATTGTTCGATTTTTAACTTTATTGACTTTAAAAAACAAAATTTAAAATAAATAAACCCCTCATCTTCATTACCAGACACTATCGGATGTTAGACAGGCATGGATGCGCTTTTAAGATAGTCATTTCAAATAAGGCTTTTCAGATGGCGTGGACGATTGGATCAGTACGGTAAAGGTCACACGATGTGTGCTCTGTACTGGCAATTGAACGACCTTTGGGCAGCTCCAACTTGGTCCACTATCGACTACGAGCTCTCGTGGAAACCTGCACATTATTTTGCACGACGATTTTTTGCGCCTGTAATCCTTTCCATGGTGAGTTGATTGTCTTGACGGGAAAATTAAGTCAGTTTTGGAGGGGAGGGGGAGGAGGAGTGTTCTTTTGTGTCTTCGTGCATTAAGCGATTTACACTAAAGCTGAAGTTTATAAACCCTTTGCAAGATTTATTTTTCTATATATACCAAAATTATATGTCCAGCCGAGCACCAGTGTTGGTGTTCCGAGTTAGTAATGTTACTGGGATGTTTCCACACGTCAAGCGCAGCTCTGCCAAGCTCTTTGATCTTGATTGATACATGCAGTTGTATGTGCCCCTCCTCCTCTTCGAGGATTGCTCAAATGGTCGTACTTCCTCGTAATTTCCACTCATTGATTTGTCAGCAATGCGAGCAGCATCCCCAGCCCATCGGATTTTACTTTCTGACGCAGTCGCAATGATATCCTGCACATTTTGCATGTTAAAAAAAAAATAGTTATTCGCTATGTTACAGTATCTGTCAGAAACTCGGTTGCTGCAAATGTTCGTCGTATCAGACTTGGTCGAACCAATTTTCAATGCAACAGTGGTCCTGGAAATGTTTTCATGGTTTGATAGTTTCACCCCAATTTACTCAGTCAACAAAACTATAACAATTCCACCAGAAATCTCTACTGAAATTGTTATGGATCAGGCAACTAAACACATGTTAAGGTAAGTTTTCTTTGGATCCAGACAGCTTGGATAATTTTTGAATGTTAGTGACAGTAGGCTCGTCATAATGAGAAGTAACGCTAATGATCGAGCCTTGGAGACTTCGTTAGTAGAATTTGTGATTTGTTCATTCGCATCACTAGTAAACTGATACCGGCATATGTTAGAAAAACAAACCGCCATCACTTACTTTTAAGCAATCCTTGAAAAAAGAAGTCATTGATCCTTACCAGCGAGTGGTTGCTTTTGAAACATGCTACGATCGAGCTTCTTCCCGAACATCTTGGCCTTCCACGGACAGTAGATAAGGAACTTGTTTTGAATGTTCATTTAACAGTACTGCATAACACAGATCAGTAAAAAACGTGAAGAAGCACTCATGTTAGTTTCTTTTATAACTAGGATTTGGTGTTTCGTTTTGTTACTGCCTGCGAGGCTGCTTGAGTTTTGAGAGGTTGAAAGGCTGCTTGAGTTTGAGAGGCACAGATTTGTTGGGGCTAGGATCATATTCTGGGTACTGATCTTTCGATGAGTGCTGCAGAAAATTGGTCGGTTGCAGAGATAAGAACAGTGCAACATATGTACTGCGCGGAAAAATACTGTCGCGTAATGGTGCGCAAATTGGTTATGATGCTGTTTATTTGCCTGACAAGCTTTTCAAGGTATGTTGTTGTCTCACGGTCACATGGTCTTTTAAAGTCACACAGTCACATCAAACGAGAAAGATTTCATCAAACAAGATCATACAAGATTTTATTGAGCAAGATTTTATCGAACAAGATTTTATCCAGCAAGGTTTTATCCAACAAAATTTTATCGAACGAGATTTAATCGAACAAGATTTTATCGAACAAGGTTTTATCGAACAAGATTTTGTCGAGTAAGATTTTATCGAACAAGATTTTATCGAACAAGATTTTATCGAACAAGATTTTATCGAACAAGATTTTATCCGACAAGATTTTATCCGACAAGATTTTATCCGACAAGGTTTTATCCAACAAAATTTTATCCAACAAGATTTTACCAAACGAGATTTTATCCAAAAAGATTTTACCCAGCAAGATTTTATCAAACAAGATTTTATCGAACGAGACTTTATCGAACAAGATTTCATCGAATAAGATTTTATCGAACAAGGTTTTGTCCAACCAGATTTTATCGAACGTGATTTTATCGACGAGATTTTATCGAACAAGATTTTATCCAACAAGATTTTGTCCAACAAGATTTTATCTAGCAAGATTTTATCCAACAAGATTATATCCAACGAGATTTCATCATTATATCCAAGGAGATTACAAGATTTTATCGGACGAGATTTTATCAAGAAAGATTTTGTCGAGCAAGATTTTATCGAGCAGAGTTTTATCGAATTTATCAAATTTTAGAATTTTGTCCATGTTATTTTCAGGTGGCAGAGGAGAACTTCGGGAGCGCTTGGGTGGAGAAACTGAAAAAAATTAACGATAGCAGTTATGAGCTTGAAATAAGGGCTGAAAAAATAGCGCCACTTGTTTATATGGAATTGCCACTGGGCCTGTATGGTTGGTTCTCGGACAATGCTTTCATGATGACTGAGCCACGAAGGACAGTAACGCTCACGCTTCTCAGGATACCCACATTCCAGCTTTCTAAGCAAGATATTGCTATTTGCTCATTACGTAACTGCGGTATGCTGAACAACGCAACGTTCGGAAGTAACTAATTCAAAAATGCACTGTTTTTGATTTTTTTTTTTTTGAATTCTGATTCGTAAAAATCTTGAAATTTATAGAGATCTGATTTGTAGAGATTTTTTTGAATCCTGACTTGTGGAGATCACGTGCCATAAAATGGTATTGGCACGTGCCAGGAAGTGAGGACCATTAGCAGCGTGCTTGTAAGCAACCATCAAAAGAGGAGTTATATGTTGAAGTTTACTACAGTTCTGCTTCTCGTAGAAAAAGAGTACCGAGAAGGACGTGGGAGAAAGGTGGTGGGGACAGTGGAAGGGAGGAGGGGGAGGGGGGAGGGGCGAGGGAAGGGGTAACGTGTTTTCGATGTGAATTCGATGTAAATCGATGTAAAGTGTTTTCAACAGTGCAATAAATTTGGGTGCAATAGTACTGTATGCGGCAGGTATGCGATGGTAAAAACTTCTGAAATTCTGCTAGAAATAACGGTTAGAAGAAAACGATGAAAAACGGTAGAAATTTCTGTAAAAAAAAATGAAAAATATTTCGAAATTTCAGCTCCCTATCTTTTTCGGTCCCCGGGTTTTTTAGAGCCTAAAAATCGGCTCTACGTAAGATCTAGATATGCAGAGAAGCTGAATTTGAGTCTGCAGGATTATTCGCGGGAAAAGTCATCTTCCTAAAACTTCAGCTTCCTTGTTTTACTGGTTCCCGAATTAATAATTTTCGCTCCGAAACTTCCATGTGTCCACATGTGAGATCTAGGCGAAAGTGAAAGCTGAATTTACTTTACGAGGTCATATGCGGGCAAAGAGCATTCTGCTGAAATTTTAACTTTCTACCCTCTATGCTTCCCGAATTATTTATTTAGGC